GACCATAAAATGTGTACATCTGTTGAAGCTTTGGGCTTTTATTGTATCGTTAAAGAGCTGCCTGAATGGTCAGATTTACTTTTTACTGTTTTCGCTACTTTTTGAAAACATCAATAATATATTTGAAAATGTGAGTTTTTTCATGTACTTTGTTGTCCTTGAAATAAACAGCACATGTAAAATCTAATGTTGAAAGATTAATATTTTACCAAAACGTGGATGAACTAAACCTGCAAAAGCATAAAAATATTGAAATGGAGAAGCTGCAGGAACTGAGTGATGGACTGTTCCTACCGAGACGCTGGCAGCTGCAGATATGCCAAAAACACTGAGATGAGTAATTTAAATTAGCAACAAAAGCATTCATCTTGTCAGCTGTTTATCTCCTGTTTTACTCCTTGTCATATTAACAATTCCCACTCAGACAGTTTTACCCAAGCGCACACGTCTGCGTGATAAAGTTGTCTCATTGAAATTCCTCTTGCTGCAGACATCAATAAACTATACAACTTGCCCGAGGGAAGCAAGCATTTTTTTTAGCAGCTGTACTCCAGTGGATTTTATGATTTCATCACTGTGAAGGCATTCCCTCGTCTTTATTTCACCAGTTAAATTTTATTATTAAGTAACAAACAAGCGAAAGTGCTTTACACCAACATCAAGCCTGATACTGGAGATTATTTTAAATTTAGAAGCAAAAGCTTCTGTAAATATATGGATTTAGTCCTGTCATAATAACAAAAGTCGCTGGACGATAAATTCTTAGTAATTACTGCGATAAATGATAATGTTTTTGAGGCCACTGTTAAAGGTACAATAATAAATTTTGTAAAGACTGTAACACTGAATCTGGACATTTTAAATATCCAAGATAAAACGCAGCAATCAAGAACAAATGAAGTGGAAATCAAAATAAAAAGTCTCTAAACAAAATTTTCCTTCTTAAAATATAAATCATTGGAATGGAAATTATTGAGCTCATTTATATAGTACATCATTTAATACTTTGCTTAGTAACAGACTTACTCATACCATCTGTTTTTGTAGTTTTTTCAAACACGTTTTTCCTTCCACTCAACTTTCCATTGTTACGCTTGCCCAGAGCAGTCAATGAAAATCCTACAAACCTTATTGATCCCAACAATTGCATGGACCATTACATAATTTAATGGGATTAAATTATTTAACTAATTACACAATTCAATATTTTGACTAATTATATAATTCAATTGCATTAAACAATAGTTTGATGTTTCTTGTTTAATAAAACAAACAAAAACTTTATGTATAAAAAATCTGAAATTTTTGACTATGTTGCTGAACCATCATATATATATATACTTTTTTAAATAGACTATTATAATTTAAGAAGCTGCTATATTTCTCCTCACCACTCAACTTGTCAGTAAACGTTTAGCCATAAACATAACAAATTACAGTTTTTCTCCCCCACTGGCATCAATAACGCATGTCGTTTTTGCAGCAATACCTGAGTGTATTATGCTTTTACCTCAGTGAAAGGGCCCCAGTCTTCTGTTCAGCCATTTAAATTATTTTAATCTCGAGCGAAAAAAAGAGCAAATGGAAGTACTTGAGTAAAACCAGATAATTAAAAGTTTGGAATGATCATTTCCAATAAAAAAAGATGAAAGATCCATTGGTTTTGTGTATTTACTTTTGATCCCCACAAAGTCGGACCATATTTACGGTCAACGAGAATCCCACTCTGGAGTGGGATTCTCGCCCTCCTCTCAATAATCGCCTCCCACTCAAACTAAGCCGTGTAATTTTACTCTCCCAGAAGCCATTACAGTCCCACTGAGGCCTTTGTTATTAATTCCCTCTGTCTTTCTAACGGCAAGCTAAATCAGTGCAGCGCTGGTGCAATAAAACGAAGCGATCTGCTAAAATAACAAATTATTCCATTTTCTGTTCAGGTGGTGGAGCGCCTGCTGTCTCTGCCGGTGGATTACTGGAGTCAGTATGTGATGGCTGAAAATGTGCAGCCCAATCTGAATCATTTGATCATCGAGAATGCAAACTGCTACGCCACCCCTGAGAGAAGTATGGCTCTGATTGTCTGTTACTGCAGGACTACTCCATGAGATTTGTTCTGTTTTTTCATTTCTGATGTTTCAGATCATTAAACAGATTTTATGTGGGTCTATAAAAGCTGGGTAAAGACTAATTGCACTTATAAAATTTTAAATATTAAGGGGGAAAGGTTGTCTAAAGCAAAATGGATCCTGTGTGGAAAATATAATTCAACCTACAAGGTGTTTATACCATCATCAGGAGTTTGCAACTATTAGCAATGAATCTCCTACAGGAGAGATTTTATCACTCATGTTTCAGTTTTGCCATCATAAGTCTTTTTTTTTTTTAACCTACTTTGATTAATCGTTTATTCGATTAAAATTAGTTCCAGTCGACTGACTGAACGTCCATTTAAACCTTGTTTTAGTGTTGTAGTTTTGCCGCCATTCAGCAGAGGGCGCCGCTTGACATCTTTAAGTGAATCCAGTTGATGCAGGAATAAAGATGGCGGGGCAATAATAGGAAAAAGAAATGGACCAAATAGAGTTCGGTGTGGGAACAAAATCCACTTTATGCGGTTAATTAATTTGCTTTGCCGGTGATTTTTGACGGGCTGCACACTCCTGGAAAAGTTCCCTGCCATATTTACTAATTTTTTTATTTGTGTTTAGGGGCCTTAGAATGGCTTTGTAATATTTTTCAGACCGATCAGTGTCAAATTTATGACTTTGAAAGTTTGGTTTGTGTAACTAATCAGCTTTTTATTAAATATGGTTCATTTATTATGTAGTAAAAGGAGGAATTAAGTGAAAAGTGCTACATTTTTAATGTACTCTGCTTGTTTTTGTCTTAGTATTTTACAAGTTTCTGGGCGTCTCATGGAGTTTCTTGTAGCCTAATCCTATTTCGCCTGTCTTTTTGCAGTGAGCATACTTGGACCGCTAACCACACCAGAGCACCAACTAAACAAAACGCCGTCCTCCAGCTCCCTGTCTCAGAAAATGAAGTCCACTCTGACGCCCCGGTAAATAAACTGAAACTCCTTCACATCCACCATGAACACATTGTTTTTAGTTCATGAATTAAATGTGGGTTGCCGTCATTATTTTCCACGACTCACAGCGAATGACGGTTTTCGTTTCAGATTTGGGAGCAAGAGTAAATCGGCTGTTGGATTTACCCATCAAGGGAAGTTCTTCTCTTCTCCGCTCCTCAAATAATCCAGCATATCTCCGACTAATCTCTGTCTGTATACTGCAAGACGGGGATGTAATTTGTTTATAAAAGATTTTAACCAAATGGTAGGCATCACTTTCTGTCGCTTTTACTAAATTCAGATCATTAGAAAAATGTAGAATTTTTCTGAAACATTTCTTTACAGATTAACTGTTTTATGCAGCTGTTATTGTTTAAAAAGTTCTTCAGTTCAGAAGCTGAAGAACTGCAAGGCATTTCATTTTTGCATGTAATTAGATGTGCTTATTTTGATGTGTGAGCTTTTAGTTCAACATTCCTGTTTCATTTCCTTTGTTTTCTTTTTGTGGTGAATTTCTTCATTACTCAGTGGTTTGTAATCTAAATGTGTAGGAGCATTTAATCCATGTTATTCTTAGCTTCAGATTATCATTACATCGACAAGATTTTGTTGGTAAATTAATAATTGGACCAGTAATGTTTGTTTTGTTATTTTTTCTTCTTTTTTTTTTTTTTTTTGCTCCTTTTTTATTTTCTCCATTTGGAGGAAAAACAAAAATACATCAAAGTTGCACTGCCAGTGATCGTAGCAGGCTTCCTGCTGGATTATTTCACTCCTCTTTGTAAAATTTATTCTCCGCCATCTGTGTAAAGTGATGATTTTCAAAGCCAGTTTAGCAACTGTGGCATTATATAGTCATATACTAACTCATTTTGGGTAAAAGTGTTTTTGTTATACTTTATAAAATACATTTCTCATGCCTACAATTGTCTCCTGTCTTCATTGCTGCAAGTTCTGCATTTACAGGGCTTGAAATCATTGGAAATGATTGAATTTTAATTCTGTGTTTTCAAGGTTTGGAAAGTGCTGATTTTCTGATTCAAACTGCAGTTTTGTAATAAAGTGATTTAATGTTGGGTTAAAACCCTAATTTTGTACAAAGTTATACATACAGTTGAAACTAGATATTTTCATCTGCCTAAGTTTTTTTTTTTTTTTTTTTTTCTCAGTCTGAAGATTTAACTCGGTGTGAGTTAAATCAGTACTTTTAACCAGTCTTGGTTAAAAGATTTTGGTTGAGCTAGAATTACAAAATTATTTCTAATTACTAATTTCTGGAAAACTTGGCAAGAACCTTTTCTTTTTATTTATTTATTTTATTTTGCGTTCTGAGTTTAAGCATTTCATTTGAGGAGGAAGATTCTTAACACAATTTGCTTGGTTTGTGTTAATAAAATGAGTATTTATTATTCCTAATTTCTGAATGACTTGTTGATCTTTGGAATGAAAATAATGGTTGGAAGTTTTATTAAATTTGTCTTGTCAGGTGCATAAACATTTTGAAACCTACCTTGTTCCAAAATACAATAAGACATGAATAACAGTAATATTTTTTTTTACTTCGTTTGTATAGATTTTAACTTTGGTGTGATGCAGAAAAAGTTTGAAAAGTGCTTGAATTTTACTGTGAGAAGTATAAAATCCTGTTTTTTAGTGTTTAAAAATTCAGCTTTAAATGTATATCATGAACAAAATCAAACTTAACCGCTTTCTTTCTCTCGACATAAAATGGACACATCATTGACCATTTTAATTTTGGGATGATTCACTTTATCCACAGCTTGAATATGTAATTATAGTAGTTACATTTTTGGAAGGTTTTTATGAGAAAATGATTCATCAATTTAGGTTTTTAAAGTGAGGTCACATGTTGATCTGATGGGAAAAATTCCTTAAAGGACTTTTGGAAAACAAGGTTGCGATGACAAACTGTTCAACATTTTTATTAAACTGTTTCTTCATACTTGTGGGTCAGAGTTTTGCAAACACATGTTTTGGTTAATTTCTGGCTGACCTTTGTATTTTTTTTCATACCAGATGAAAATCATGTTGGGAAAACACTGACTTGTTTCCACCCATTTATTTTATATTCCATCTGTTCAGTTCTAAAAGTCTCTTTTTTTAAACTCGTACACAAACAGATCAGTGCAAGTATTTGTTGTACAAATGCAAACCACAAGATTACATTAATTCCTTGTTCTGTTTCATCCGAACACAAAAAAGAAACCTATTCAAAACTGTTTGGTTTTGGATTTTTATTGCTTTATGAAGCCAGATTGTTCAGCTGTTAATTAGTTTGTGGTTTTTCTGATTGCTTCCCCTCTTCAGAGTAATTAGCTCATTAAATATTTCTCAAAACTGGCTTCTGTTTTTTGCCGGTGGGGTTTCTGAAGACACAGACAGGAATGATAACTGCTGTTAATGATGCCTCTTTTGTGTCACATGAATAATACTCCTGATGGCTGGTAAACACTTTTCAGCCATCAAACATTATTCACGACAGAATTCACGACTTTAATCCTCCATCGATGACAGAATATCTTTGAGAGACTTATCTTTTAGAGTACAATTTGCCCTGTTGATGCGTACAGCGAATGTAAACGGTATCAAAACTTCGGCCACGGCCAGAGAAGAGGAGTGTTTTTGACGTAGTCCTGGAAGGCTGCCTCGGATCCCCATTTCTTCATCGCCTGCCGCTCCAGGATGGGGATGCCACTGACGTAGCGCAGTAAAAACCACACGAACAGCGGAGACGCCACACTCAGGTACTGAGGCCCCTGCATGACGGACGAGGCCGAGAGCCAAAGACCCGACCACTGCAGGATCTCCCCAAAGTAGTTGGGGTGTCTGCTGTAGCCCCACAGTCCACTCTGGATGAATTTCCCCTGTGGACACATCAGAAACTCTGTTTTTATTTGTTTTCCTAGATCTAACAAGGCATAAATTTACCCCATTCATCACAGGCAGTTGATTGAGATGAAGACTTTTTATTTTCCTTCAATTGAAAATGTTAAACATGTCCATAATCATTCTTAGCTAGTCTTTTAATCTGGTCCGTTCTGCCTCTTTTGAGCTCCGTTCAGAATGAGCTGCTGTCACTTTAAATCCACACAACCTGCTGCTAGCCACGACCCCGAACTCGACCTTTACACTCGTCCGTGAAAATGGCTGCAATTACTAAACCGTACATCTTTGAAAAGCACCAGTCTGTCTACAACAAAACATTTCTCTTTTCCAGCAGCCATTGTACAGAGAATGCGGCTGTAAAACCAGCTGACTGAACATGCTGGAGTTCTGTCTGGGTTGCTAGGTAACGTAATGAACTCTGCTTGGGTTGCTAGGTAACGGGAACGTTGTGACTTTACGTTCGGGAGGTTTTTGAACTGGCTCATTATCTAGACACCAAAAAATATATATTATTAGGTCATAAAATTATTTAATGATAAAAATTAATATTATTGCCTGAAATTGTTGGTTGTTTTTAGAAGCAGTCGAAATCCAAATGGAAGTATTTAAAAATTTTTGCATGATATGTTCCCTTTAAATACGACACAAAGTATTTGTCTTTTTATAATCAAGCTTTTATGATGAGAAATATCAAGAATTTTACTGAAAAGCTGACTTTTCTGCAGCCAGATCAAGTTTAATGTGTTAAACTTGGCTAAATATTAGCAAGTGTTTTGGGATAAAATGACCCAAATTGTGTTTTTATAATTAAAAACAAATTGGTTCAATTGAGCCTAAAAGACTTTGAAAAACAGTAAACATGAAAAATCCTTTTCACGTTTTGTATCTACAATGAATAACATCCCTACACTACAAAACTAAAAAAAGTTGGACACTTATCTACTAGATTTTATTTTATTTTTTCTTTATTTTCTTGGCAGTATTTTGACTCAATAATTTTGGCTCGTGTAACAAAAACTTAGGACACCAGAATAACATGCCTGCTTACTTACAGCATTATCTGGGTCGCGCTTGAAAAGCCACTTCTGCTGATCCGCAACGGCTTCGGCAGCGAAGCCAATACCCCAAACGGTCCAACCGATGAAGTCCCTGGGCCCCAGAGGCACGTTTCGCCTCTCGGTGTTCAGCATGAGGGTGGGAAGGAGGGTCATAAATACCCACACAGCTTGGAGGAATGGAAACAGATGAATCAGTTTCATTCAGCCTTGCTTTAATCCTTCCATGAAAACAGAAATGCATCTAAAACGGAGTAAATACCGGCCCCTGTCTTGAATAAATGCATATAGGGAGCAAGAAAGTAGACATTGATTAATACGGGGAGGCTGATCTGCTTCAGGAAGGGAGGAGGTGAAGAGCACTTTTCAGATTTTGTCACAGTAAAACCACAAACTTCAATAAATTTCACTGGGATTTTCCGACGTAGATCAATGTAGGAAGTTGTGAAGTGGGAGAAAAAAAATGGTTTTATGAGTTTTTCTCTAATAATCTGAAAACTTGCATTCAGAACCACATTTTACTGCACAGACCTGTGGCTCTTATATCCAGGGCCGGCACAAGTATTTTTAGGACCTTGGGCAGATTTTCATGGCCTCCCCTCCCGCCCATACCAGTAAGTCAAAAAAAAAAAAAAAAACATTGGCCAGTGTTGGCGTTATAAGCCAGAACTCGTCCCATAAAGCTCAGGCAACCAAAACTGTTTCTGTGGCTCTGATTAGAAACTCAACACACACAAAATCAAAGCGCTACTAAAGCAGCAGAGATGCACAGTGCAACGGATTTAGCTCGTCATGCAGCGCCGGTCCAAGGTTGAGGAAGAATTTGACTTGGGGGCCCCTTTTGCTGCTAAGAACATCAGCAACACCAACAGCATTTCATCAAATATTTAGTCAATTCTGTGAGAAAGGCGTAATTTTATTAGCCAACCTGCAAAGCAATCAGTGATAATTGTTGTTTACTGAGATACATTCGTGAACAAACAGAGCTCAAAGTCAAAGACAAACTCAGCATCAGACTAAACAAAACCACAGTGACGATCTAACTTTGAAGATTGATCTTTGAACTTTTACAAAGTAAACTTGGCAGCTCCTTAAAATCTTAAATTTAAATGTTAAACAATTCTAAATCTTTCAATTTATGTATGACGAAACAAATCAAGTTTAGCAGCATTGATCATCCCCATAAACCAATGCTACATTTATGTATCTGTGGTTTGTGTTCAATTATTAGCATTCCTGAAGCTGTGGGAGGCATTTCTGGAGCTACCAACTTAATTTGGATTAAACAGAAGTGCAAATGATTGATATTAATTTTAAGTATATGCTCCTGATTTGTTGTTCTTAGGACTCCATAGTTGTAACAATGTCTACCCATAACACAAACATGGCGAGTTTTCTACTGTAAACCCTGATATCTACATGTTCCATGTCACAAATAAGCACTACTTTATCTTGAGCATGGCATAAGAACTTTGTAAAAACGGTTTTTGGTTTTAATGTGACAGAAAGTGGCAGTATAACTACTGTAGCTTCCTCTGCAGGTACCTTGAACACTCCAGTAAACAAAGAAAGTCCCAGGGCTGTCTCTGACGTTGTTGAACCTGCGGTCATGACCGTCCTTCAAGATTCGCAGGAAAAGGAATGTGCCCAGCCTGCAGTGAGAACACGGTTAGCATCCGTTTCCATTAACGAAGGCATCATTCATTAACTCCTGACTTTAAAGTTAGACGTTCATTAGTTCCTCATCTGACCTCTCCAAGAACCCGTCCACGCTTCATGTTAACACTGAACTGCTTTGGTTTGCGGCGTTTTGGGTCGGTGCTGACTTTCTTACCTGAGCCCCCATGCTGTCACCAACCCGGTCTGCACCTTCTGCCGCGTGTGACTCGCTCCTCCCCAGATCCGACTCAGGTGTGCCAGTAGTATAAATGTGCCAGAGCCTTCAAAACGACAGACAGACAGAGCTGAATTTCAGAAATTATGGTGTGGAGCTCCACTTGCTGCAGGACAAGGCGTGTCTAATAAATCTTTTACCCAGGGCGCTGTGGACAATTGGGTCCAAAGTTCAAAGTGGAGCAGAGAGCAAGAAAAGGACAAGTGAAAAGAAGCGTCAAGGTGATTCTCCAGTGGGAAAACTTATATTCTTTTCACACCTATCAACAGGTAAACTGCAGCTTTTGGAAAAGTTGAAGAATCTAAGTTGAAAATTTTAAGATCATCTAAATTACTTTGAAAATCTGTGACTTCCTGATTGGACTTTTCCTGAACTATTTCCTTGTGAGTTTGGGCAGAAGTCCATTTTCTCATCAAATCATTGTTTTTGTTCTCAAACATCTAGTAATTTTGTTCAATGAACGAATGATTTGCAAGGTGCGTAATGTTGGATTTGTTCACATTTGTAATCGAATAAAAGAATCAGTTAAAGTAAGCGGGAAAAAAATTAATTACAGCAACTTAAAAATCACACTCCAGTTAATATTGCTTAGCAGTTTTAACTGGGTCTAAACTGCTGCAAAAGTGCTATTGGTTGCTTTCGCGATATGCAGAATATTTGTTTTCTGAGGAATAGTGATACTCAGACACATTTTACTTGGGCAGTGAGCCCAAGTGAGGCCTGTTAAATTTGAAAATGGCACCATAAAAGTTCAGGACATTTAAGAAATGTTGCACATACGTGTCCAAGCTTGGAAGCTGTAACTTTGAGAAAACTGTGTTTCCTAACTCTGCCAGAAATCTACAAAATTATTCTCAATCAATAACCTTGTGACCCATTTTCTTTCTGATTTCGGCACGTCAAATATCCTTTATACCACTCTTCGTGATCAAATGGACAATTTTTTATTAGTGTTGGAAAAAAATCTAAGCTTTTTTACAAGTGCTGACCAGTTTTTACATTTTTCTGCTGGTATTTTGATGATTTACATTTTGGTGATGACCTCTGAAGGCCTCTTTGCCATGACCCTAATCTACTAACATTAAGATGTTAGTAGCTACAAAAAACAACAACTTTAAGCTTAAATCTGCTTAGTGTATGAAAAATTAGGGCTTTCTCTTTTCAGAAAATGTTAAAATATAATATTCTATCAAGGTATAATTGAAAATATTGATTCAGTAGAGTCCTGTGTCATATAGATAATATTATGTTATTTTTACATTGTGCATATTAATATTTAGTTGCCTATTATTCTGTTTATGTCATCGTGTGACATGTTCATTTTAAAATGTAAATGTACTAAATAAACAAATGACATTAAAATATTAATATATGGGTTTGTTCGTGCCCAGCAGCGCCCCTGGTCCCATGATCGCTTTGTGCGCCCCTGCTGCTGCAGGCGCTGATTGGTTCTGCTAAAGCTAAGGGAGGAGTTTTACCTCTAGACTCGTTTCACAACAAATCCACTTTAGATAACACCAAAACACAGCTTTTGTAATCATTAAAATGACTGCGCATGAAGCACCTTTCATGTAAAAATAAATCACGTCAGACTGAGCTCTTCGTTTTCCAGTCTGAATTCAACTTGCTGAAATGAAAACAGACGCCCTACTTTTGCTTTACCTGCCAAGTCGTAAAACTTCTCGGTTCTGAAAGCTGCAGCCAGAGCCCAGCCGGCCCACTGGACCCCCAGGTCGGTGAGGGCGCATTTGACCAGAGTGCTTCCCATGATCACGTCCTGCAGCGCGGCGAGCAGCGCGGCCATCTGAGCGCCTGTCATGAAGCCACGCCTCCAGAAACCAGACAAATACTGAACAGTTTGGGTGAAGTTCACCACCGAGATTCCACAGGAAGCGGGTCCGCAAGGAACTCTGGGTAGTGTAGTTAAAAGAGCGTCTGCTCTCATGACTGTAGGCAAGCGACTATCGGTACAGTGGATGCATCTGAACAGGAATAAATATTCGGCAAAACTTTTCTGAAGAAAAAAAAGGGGAAATTTATGATTTTGAAAGGTTGAAGATAATTTTTTTTTCTTTGATTAATCCAAGAAAATTTATAAATATATATTTTTAAAAAAATCTGAGTTTTTGCCAGAAATTTACGCCTCTTTTTAATAAATAAATAGATAAATAAAAAAAATTCTAAAATTGTAACTTTTTTACTACTTTAGAAAATTTCTCAAAATTTCAGATTTTTTTCTTGTAAATTCCCAACTATACAATTTTTCAAACATTTTTTAAGATTAATCTCAAAATTTCAGATTATTCAGATTATTTTTTAGTACATTTTCGACTTTCAACACTCAGACATGTCCTTGTTTTTATCTAGAATTTTTTTTAGATTATTCTTTTTGCCTAAAATTTACTCGTCCTTGATTTTCATCTCTTGTAACCGGATTAAACTGTTATTATCGATAACTATTAACTGTTATTTGTAACATTTATTTACAGTGGAAATAAATAACTACTTAGAGAAATCTTAACATAAGTTTAATCTTTTATTTCAGTAGGATAGTAAAAAATCTAGTTCTCTAACAAATTCCAAAAATGTACATCTGTGTCTCATTGTACTTAAAATATGTATCTCATAAAGTATTTTTTGTGTGTTTTTCTCTCAGGAATAAACACGGGCAAGTTCAAACATGGCAGACAGCACAAGTCCAAAAGGCAACTCAGGCGATTTTGCTAAAAAAGTGCAAAGACAGCTGAGCAGAGGCAAAGAAAAGGTGCAAACTTTAGGATTTCTTGTTTCTCAAAAACCAAAAGAAGGAAAGAAAGGAGAGATTTGGATGATTCTTTATTTTACTGCAGGTGATGCAAAGGCTTGGAAAGTCAATGGAGACGAGAGATGATCAGTTTGAATGCTCCCTCCAGATGTTCATTGACCAGCAGGTAACAAAACCTTAAGCTCGATTATTCTCAATAATCACAAGTACGCTCTAAATCTGTTGCAAAAGTATTTGTGTCCCTTAATCTACATTAGCTTTACTTCACAACAATCAATTTTAATATTTTCTTTGTGTTCTATGTGGTGAAGCAGCAAGGAGTAGCTCATGCTCGTTAAATTGAAGGAATGATACAAGATTTTGGAAGTTTTTTATAAACTAATTATTGAAAATTCAGCCCCCCCTGTACCATGACATCCCTAAATAAAAGCTCAGAAAAACATAGTGCCATCAAAAGTCACTGGATAACCTACATCTAGAGCTATAACTGGAACGGTCCAGTCAAAGTCTGGACCTAAATCCAATTGAGAACAAATGGAAAATTGGCAAAGAGTGATTTCACAAAATATTGAGTATTTCTGACAATTTTCAGGTTTTTCTCTAAATGAATTTAAACAATTAAAAAAAAAAAGATCCAAAGCAACTGTACATCATTTTTCTTGGTTCTTTATTTTGGTTTTTGCCCTAAAATCCTATCAAAATACATAACATTTTTCACTTCTGTCCTGAAAACAATCTGTAAAAATCCAAGGAGTTTGATTACTTTTGCAAGGCAACACATTAAATCATTGCAAACTCCTTTTCTATTTCCAGACAGACGGGAACCGGATATACAAGGACTTACGGAACTACATTGATGCAATAAGAGGTATGAAGTGGTTGTTTGCACATGCAGCAGAGATGTAGATTTGTGCCATCTGCTGGTCTCAAATAAGTCATTGTACTTTTTGCAGACATGCGTGAAGCATCAAGACGCCTCTCTCAGTCTCTGTTTGATGTTTATGAAAGCGACTGGGCTGGAGAGGAAGACCTGGGAGCCATTGTTGAGGTTAGTGACAGAGAGAAAACAGCAACATGGATACAACAGTATACAAAATATACTTTATTGATCCCTAATTGCTTATTAATTAAAAAGTGACTCCATCCACGGTGTTAAAATCTAATTATTAAGGAGAGGTAGAAAAATCAGGGTTAGAAGTCGTACTTCTCTCTGTGTTAAAGGTGCAAAATGTAACTTTTATAAAAAATATATTTTACATATTTGTTGAAACTGTCTTTTTGCCATGAGACAAATAATCTGCAACCAATTCAAGCTTCTCTGCTTTCTCCCAGTGATAACTAGAAACAACCAATCAGAGCCTGGAGTGGTTTCACAAAGTATTGAGTATTTCTGAAGATAAATTCCCAGCACAATTTTCAGATTTTTCTTTAAATAAATGCTAAAAAATATTCCACAACTATGCTTCATTTTTCTTCCAATTCACAATTATGAGTCCTTTGTGATGGTTTTTAGCGCTGTCAATCACAATCTTATGTGGTGCTGCTTTTTCTACCTTTGTCTCCCCTCTTGCTGTTACGCTGCAGCTAGCATAGCATGTTGAGAATGCTAGTGCTAGTTAGCATAGCCACCTATGACAGCAGATAAATGCCTTTCCTTTAACTGTAAGTTGTTTTTCTGCCATAAGAACATTTAACAGCGAGTACACGCCATTGATTGACAGTGTTAAGACCCGCCTCCTGGCTCTGATTGGTTGTTTTTGGTCGGGAGCGGTGCATTTCTTCAGATGGCGATAATAGCTCAGGGAAGAAGTGAAGGAGGTTGATCTTTTTACAGATTATCCATCTGATATGGTGTAAGTTTTAACAAATATGTAAAAATATGTATTCCTTATAAAAGTTACACCTTTAGTGAATAATTAATGTAATGTTAATGAAGGGCGAGGACCTCCTGTGGAACGACCACGAGGTGAAGCTGTTGGACCAGGCCGTCCGCACCATGGAGTCCTACGTGGGACAGTTCCCAGATATTCGGGTAATGCAGGGAAACTGAACTGAACATGTGGACAAGACAGAAGCATGAGAACAAATTCACGTTTCTATGAATCTACTTTTAAACTTGTAGGAGAAAATTGCCAAGAGGGGAAGAAAACGGGTGGACTACGACTCGTCCCTTCACACCCTGGAGTCTCTGCAGACCGCCAAGAAGAGGGACGATATCAAGATAAGCAAGGTCTTTGAAAGAGTATTAAAAATCTTAGAAGGTTTTTTCTTGTACCTTCATCTGCTTAAATATCCGTCCTTTCACTCTGCAGGCAAAGGAAGAGATGCTAGTTGCCAAAAACATCTATGATGGCATCAACAATGAGCTGAAAGAGGAGCTGCCTGTCCTATATGACAGGTCTGATGGCTTTCTTTGCAATGTTAGCCTTTTCTCTTTCCTGTCTTTTTAGATTAATTGTGTGTTTTTTCTCCCTGTAGCCGCATCGGATGTTACGTGGCTGTCTTCTCAGCTGTGTCTAATTTACGAGACATCTTCTATAAGGAAATGAGCACGGTACGTCTCGCTTTGAAGTGAAGCACAATTATAAAGTGGAGAGATTTTCTTGTTTTGACCACCCATGTCCTCTTTCAGCTCAATCTTGATCTGCAGAGTGTGATAAAAGAGCTGCAGGCTCAGCATCCTGACAAAACGTTTGCTGTGAGGGGGCTGCAGAGGTACGTTTTGCCCTCTTTACATACAGTTGATTAAAAAAACAAAACATGTATTTAGCGCAGCTGGAGGTTTTTTGAACCGTAATGGATCAGAAAAATATGATTTTTTTTCTTGGAACTTTCTTTAAGACACAATTTTTGCTTTGCAAAAGTTTTAATATCGAATGAATTTCTCATATTTTGACATTGTATCAAAAAAGTACAAGTTCAAGTGGCAGATTATTTTCACTTAACATGGGCAAATAGTCTTGTTATAAGTAAATTTATCTGCCAATAGAACTTGTACTTTTTCATCACTATTAAGGAATTATTTACTTAAAACAAGCTTCTACATCTTGCTGAAAAGATACTTGTAAATTAGTTTTGTCGTATTTCAAGTGTACTAAGATATTTACAGTAGAAATTAGACCAAAAATATTTGGTAAGATTTAATGTTTTAAATCTGCTGGAAAAGACAAATGTTTTGTTATTGACTTAGCATTTAGAAACCACTTTCTGGTGTGCAGGAGGCTCCACTTCTGCTTTTCAAAGATTTACAGTTGTACAATTATGCATCTCTTTAAACACTAATTTGGCCAGCAGCTTATTTGGATTTAAAGTGACAAGATGCCCCAAAATAGCTAAATCTGAACAATCAGAACAGACTAAAATCTCATTATATAAGAATAATTTGCAAAAATAAATAAAATGAAATTATGAACACATTTTGTCTAGCCCATAACTACCCTAAAATATTGAAGGAAGAACAATAGGTCCCCTATAACTCAGAGGAGGATGAGCACAATTACAGTTTTCAGATTTTTATTTTTTATGATTGTTTAAATTGATGCATTAATTTATTTTTCCTGGTCGTTCCCATACATTTGTGGCTTTAACCTAATAAAATTGGCTGTGAAACCTTTGCAAAGTACTGCAGATATAAAAAAGTTGCCACATTCCTGTTAATTATTTCAGGTACGGCTCCCTGAAGAGACGGACTCTGCTGTCCCCCAAGGCCTGGAAGGCCAGTTTTTCTGAATTTCACCGGACCTACAATCCCAGAATGAGCCTGCGGTCCAGTCTCAGGTCTCCGGATAAACCCCGCCACAGCACTCTGTCCAGAGAGAGCAGCACACTCGGTTTCTCCTCTCGGTCGTCCACCCTGAGCAGAAGCCTGACAGAATCCAGAGAGCTGGACACGACTTCCTGCCACTCCGAGAACCAAAGCTCTGTGGCGCAGGAGGAAGCTGGAGCGGGAACATCTGGGAAAGAGAAGTCCGGAGCAGCCAGTGGTCAGGGCGAAGAGGGGAAAAGCTCCAAAGAGGTAGAAGATAAAAACGATGGAGAAAAAGCTCCACCAAGTGAGAGTAGCTCTGAACTGAACAACTCCTGCGAGTCGGAGAGCTTGGAGCTGCAGCTGTCCGCAGCCCGCAGCGAAACACTGCACATCGAAGAAGAAGAAGAAAATGCCTCTGCAACCCTTGACTCCC